TATCTCAATACGTACAAATATGGACTGCTAATGATATCGTTGCGTATTGTCATCCCAGAAAATGAACAAACAATTTGTGCGTACATCAACATATAAAACACCCCTAAAGAGGTTGAAATTGATGTAAGTTAATATATCAATAAGTTTTTTACACTTCTTTTCCCAATATTCTTAACCGTTTTTCGTAGGCTCGACATGGTAAACACTTTCCGGTACGGACGTAGATGATATCATCACGACCTCTCTTTTCGTACCGCTAGAATAGGTGAAATGAGTTCAAAGGAATTAGTTAAGACACGCTCTCGATCGAACTAAATGTTTTTCGTCTTATCGTATATAAGAGAAAGGTTGCTTTTAGGAGTGACCTTTCTCGATTTCAACGAAAAGTTTGAATAACGGTGAAGAAAATGTTACATCTATATGTGAGGAGCTAATTGTTGGGAATTCAACTAAAAATATGATAATAAGACCTCAACCTAACATAGTGCAATAGATAAACAAGTAATGTATATTCGACATGTTTACATAGATCTATAATTTCAGTATGTAGTCCTGGCAACATAGTTGCAAAACGTTATGTACTCTATTCTACTAATGAAAATCAAAAAATTAACGGATAGCCACTACCAACGAATTGCAATAGATTTCAAGTGGATGAAGGAATAACTCCAGCCCCCTGTATACCAAACGGAAAAAAGGGCTTCTTAAAAGTAAAGGATACGCTAGTTCCTTTTGTTGCATGGGAAAAAAAATCGTGCAACCCTTGATTATGAGGTACTTATATTGCTTAAGTCATTAATTTTTGTATTCATTAATGAAACCTTATAATTTTTAGCAATCCTATTAATTAATTACATTGTGCATGTTTGCTTCAATGCATATTTAATACCTATTTTTAAGTTGTTACAACATCCGAGTGTACCTATAATTAAAGATAACAATGAAAAGCAAAAGCCCAAGAAAAAACAGCCCAGAGTGTTTACCAAATTAAATGGGCTAAGGAGTGGATTTACTAAAAAGAACACTATTACTAATCATTGAGAACTCACTCGACAGCACCGAGACAGTTTACAAAATTCTAAAACTGGCTTGTATGCTTTATTATGGACGTATAGCACTCCATAACGTGTAGTTTACATGCCCCCTTATCACCAATGTCTTCTTGCATTTCGTCTTTTGCTGATACATATTCTCGAGCTTCTCCCAAAGTTTGTATGAATATATATTTTGAGTGACATGACGCAAAACACTACAATCTATTGTCAAATTTGAACTACCTTTTCTTATTATTATGGTTCGAGCTTCGTCTATCTTTATGTATGGTTTGAAACGTTTCCTTTTTAAAGGCTTGCTAATTCCTTCAAATTAATAAAATCTTTTATTCATGGCTTCCACATATTATAATATACGGTATGAGTCGCACCATTATAATCGTACTTGTAGATTCCATAGAAAACACTTGTAATTTTCTTTGTACAAATATTTCTATGAACAATCAGATAAAACCGAGCTTTCAATCGGATCCAAAAGGATAAAAATGATAATATGGAATGTTTTGGGATCAAAACGCACTTTTTGGAAAAGTTATGGACCAATTTTTAACTTTTTAGAAGTCTACGGACCCATCACCTAACTTCGAGAAGTACTGGGACCAAACTAAAATACTTCAGTAAAGTAGGAATATATTTTTTGACTATAGATTCCATTTCAATATAGATAATATTTTTTGATAATTTAAATTCTTACGTGTCACTCTATGTAAACAATAGTAATACTAAACCGTTAAAAATGCGACTAAAGATAATTTATGTTAACAACTTAATTATATTTGTGTCTCAAAAAGAAACAATGGTCAAGATAATATTTATAAACGTTGACTATAAGTATTTTATGTTGACGATTAAATTTCTTATCTGATAGTGTAAACAATAGTCACGATAACAAATAAAGACTATGACTATACACTTTTTAAATTTCTATTTGTGACTAAACCTTGTCAATTTTTATGATTGAATTTATTATGTGTCACTATATGTAAACAATAGTTATGATACACCGTTAAACATGTGATAAATATAATTTATGCTCATAACTTGATTTTATTTACGTCTCCGAAAATAAACAATGGTCACGATAAAATAAATAAACGGTGACTAAATGTATTTTATGATGACAAATTAATTTTTTTATTTTTGTCGGTAAGATAAACAATAGTCATGATAACAAGTACACACCCTTCAATATAAGTTTTTGTTGGTCACCGTTGAATTTCTTGTGGGTGAGAAAATGTAAATATTTATTATTGTATAGGAAAAAATCTGTCGTTGTAACTATTTTTGGTGACGACTAAATTTGTGATTTGTTTTTAATCGTAATAATAGTCATGATACAATATGAAACTTGTGACTACAACTTCTCAATCATTATAATAAAAGAAATAACACATGACTACAATTATATTATTATGGTTGCCATTTAATTGCTTGTGAGTCACTAAGTGTACACAATAGTCATAATATAAGAATATACTCGTTACTAAAACTATTTTATGGTGACAGTTTAATTTATGAGGTATTTGTAAACCAAATAATAATCACGCTAAAAAATAAAACCAGTCACTACAAGAATTTTTTGTAACGCTTTGTCTGTGACAAAAGGTACACAATAATCATAATAAAATAATGATTGACTATAAATGTATTATTGGTGACGGTTTTCAAAAATAAGATTGATACAATTCCAAATATCCCTACCATATAGTGACGGTTTTTACTATAGCAACGTTTATTCATGAATTATACTCACCATAATTAAACATCACCATAACTTGTCAACAAGCACATGATATTTTGTCTTACTTTTAATGAAAAAACCCTTCACAAAATGTCTGTAGTAACGTTCTTTTTTTGCGTCACCAAAAGCCATATTTATACTAGTGTTTACAAGGGTTGATAATCCATTAACGCTCATGTGGCCTAGTCTTCTACGCCACAAGTTTGGTAATGTATCTTCTTCAACATCATTGAGACTTGGTGGAAGTAACATGGCATGAATTTTATAAAGAGTACCATAAACTTGTCCCTTTGCAATGACCATAACACCTTTTAACATCTTCCAAGTGTCATCTTTGAATTAATTTTCATATCCATGATTATAAAGAGCCGCTATATAAATAAGATTCAGTCTTAGCTCTGTGACATGTCAATCATCTTTTAGCACCAATATACACCTTACATTGGTCTTTATATGTACATCACCAATGCCAACAATTAATAATATCCCGATATGCAGTGGAATGATATGATGTAGAATACTAATCGTCCAATTGTCATCATAAGTGCCTATATGTAGACATGCTTCCTCTTCACACATAACAAAGAAAATGTCTTGTGAGATGGTGACCATAGTTTCATCATCCTACTTACTTTAACTCATACGCTTTTCAGGTTGCTCCCGTAAATTTTTTTCGCAAACACTCTTTTTGTGTCCATAATAACTATAGTGATTGCAATATTCCTTGTAACATGTATATGTATACTTTCCTCGCTCTATTGATCTCCCTTGAAATTGGGATCTTCCCCTACCTTGACCATATTTCCTTATACATTGACCTTCGATTCTGCCTTTACCTATTCATTTGTCTTCTGACAGGAGGGAAAATAACTGGTATGCACTAGCTTGTTTCTTTCCGGATTCTACGTTCATTCGGGAGTCTAGGCACATCTTCATTATCACTTTGCCGCTGGGGAATAATTATTGAAAGTGACAACAAGCGTCTCACAGTGATCATGTACAGAATTGATGAGCAATATGGTTTGTTCCTCATCTTTGAAAACTCAATCAGCAGCACTGTGATGTTTTACAAGATCCTGAAACTGACTTGTATGCTCCGTTGTTCATGTGTCACTCTATAACTTGTCGTTTACAAGGCCCCTAAACATCAATATCTTCTTGAGTATCGTCTTTTCCTTATACATATTCTCGAGCTTCTCCTATAGTTTGTGTGAATCTGTATCTCGAGTGACATGCATGATGCAAAGCACTATGATCCGTTATCGAATTTGCGATACCGTTTTCTTATTATTGTGGTCCGAGTTTCATGTATCTTATGTCGGGGTTGCTACCTTTCTTTTTAAAAGGCTTGCTAAATCCTTCAGAATCAAAAAATCTTCTATCCTTGGCTTCCACATATTATAATTCATGGCATAAGTCGTGTCATCGTAATCGTACTTGTAGATTCTATACATAACACTTGTAATTTGATTTGTTCAGAATTTTCTATGAACAATCAGATAACTCCGAAATCTCAGTTTGATCAAGAAGTGTAAAAAGTGATAATATGGACTTTTTCGGATCCAAATGCACTTTTTGGAAAAGTTTTGGGCCAATTTCTAAGTTATCAGGAGGGACACATCAACTAACTTCCACAAGTACAAGGACCAAACTGAAATACTTCAATAAAATTGGGACATTTTTGAAACTTTTCTGAAGTATAAGGACCAATCCGCCAACTTTAGGAAGTATAGGGATCAATATGAAGTACAACGGATTTTCAGGGACAATCATGCAGTTTTCCTGAATTCTAGGTAGTCAATCATATGACATAGCAGCCGACGTCAGTGTTGATGTCAGCGTTGACGTCAACGTGCACGTCAAGTGCAGTGTTTATCAAATCTAGAGTGGTGTCAAGAATTGTGAAACATTTTAGCATAGTAACAAATACCTTTCTCAATTTAATATCGACCTTTTTGTTTGTGATATAAAAATGATTTGGTAACTATATGAAGTTAACGATCAGGAACACAATCCCACTGTCCTATCTGTATAAAAACTATAAACCTTTCTTAGATGGGAATCCGAACATTAGCCATGTTAACACCATGCATGGATGTACGTAGCTCTCTTGAAAAGTGAGGGCATGATCTTACACCCAGTGTGGTTCATCACAATTAAAACATACATTAACAACAACAATGTTAACAGGCAATTTCAAAGATAAATTAAAGAATCACCAATTTAACGCCTTGTGGCGTTAATGGTTGGAGCTGCCGCTTGGCAAAATATCGAGCAGTTTTTTCAGTCCTCTTGGAGAACCTCATTGAAGTTGGAGTTCCCTTCCGAGCCTGGCACCTAGGATCAATCCAAATTTCCTTCAGCGCCACAGCATTGTCTATGATGTAAGCCACAAGTTCCAGGTCACTCCCTCCACCATAATACCCCTGAATCTCAAGTAGATTCAAGTATTTATGGCGATGAGTACTATCACGCCTTACATCCCTTCTCCTTCTTATCGGTGAAATCCATAAGAGCTGCAAAATTCAGTGACATGATGACATTAAGTTCACTACACCATTCCTCCTATAAAGAACAATATTTGTTTTATCAACATAAGAGTGGTTTAAAGTTTAAAGAACAACTAAGGTAATTTGATTACATGCATGATTATTGTTATAATTCATAAAAAGCAAAACTATCATCGGATTTGTTAACAATATCCCTTCAAAGATATCCATCATATCATATGTTATTTAAAGAATCGATTTGGAAAATCTCACAAAACATATATATATATATATATATATATATATATATATATATATTATATATATATATATATATATATATATATATATATGTAGTTTGCATATCATAAAGAATAAGAAAAGTGAACGGCACTGTAGGATCAAAAAAACACATATAACTTCTAAGAACATACCAAATACGATAGACTAAAGTAAGTTTAGAAATTAAACAATGAACAAACATTAAATCTAATGGTAATTTAATCGCTACACTTCTTAAAAAGGTAAATAAGGCTTCCAAATGAGAAGAATATAGACTGCAAACCGCTTGGCGTCAAGTAACCATAAGTGAGAAATGCTGCATGCATACAACTTCAAAGACTGTCGAATGTTAGACCTGGTAGTTACTTTTTACAGCTCTTTGTTGTATGGTTATAATGTTTCTTTTTAAGTTGCAGGTCATCTATGGATGAAGGTTTTTCGCCTACATCTTTCCTGCTCCTTAGGCCATTTCTATAGGACTGGGCATTGGGGTATGATTATCATTTGTAAACACAATTCTTATTTGATTTTAACAAATTTCTTAAACCCATAGTTTTCGATGTCGATGCTTATTGTGTCTTGCAAGATTACATGCAAAAAAACACTAATGCCGTTCATAAGAGAACATGTGGACAGAGAAGTATAACATGTTCTCATAGTTAATATTAGCAAAGGACAATAATAAGAACAGCGTTTAGCCTAAACCCGATATATTGACAATTAAATGAACTTCTTAATTGGACATAACATAAGTACCTTAATCTGAAAAGCCTCCAAACTTGGACATGAGTTTGCTAGTGAAGCGACCTCTAGCAGGGAATCATCTTCATGACCTCCAATTGTCAACCTCAGGTTCTTGACATTTGGTAGTTCAGGAATGGAAGCAAGGATTAAACTTTGCTGCAAAAACAAGAATTATTACTCTCATGATATTTCCATTATACATTATAAAACACATTAGAGATTAACTACTAACCTTTGGTTGGCCTATTTTGAATGAAAGAGCTTGAATGTACGAAAAACAAGTTGATATTTTCCCAAATACATTAGTTTTTATCCTTGCGAGTCCTCGACCAATATCCAGTTCTTTGAGCTTTGGAAGATCAGTGAGACCTAAATCTATGGCTTGACCGTTGTAGATGAATGATATAAGGTTAAAATCATATAAATAAATGGATTCAACCTCAAAACAGTTTGTTATTTCTAAGTGTTTCAAAGTTGAGAGCTTTTCCACCTACTTCAACATGCGTCAAGTACGCGGAGCGATGGATACAAAGCATTTCAAGTTGTGGAGAATTTATTAGAAGTTCCTCTAAGATTGCATCACTCACGTTAACGCTCTTCAAGACGAGCTTTTTCAGAGAAATTAGCTCCACAACTGCAACAGCTGATGATGGCCATTCGAAAAGGTGCTCTATATTTCTATCTGATAACCGGAATGGGAAATCATAATTAAAAAAAGAATCACGGATCTTAATACCGTGCTTCATAAAATCCAATTCAAGCATTTCAACTCTCTTGTCTGCTGCAAATTGGAGCCACTTATCAATAACTTCTGCATTACCTGCATACAAATCGAAACGAATCCGGACGTGTTGAATTACAGGTTGGTTGTAACTTTCGATTACATCGTTGACCTGTTTGAAGAACTTAGACCGTGCTTCACGAAGAAGCTTCCGATCTGTAACAATATCATTTAATGTTTCACCAGCATCGAATTCCAGTTTGTGTAACTTGCACCACAAGAATCTCCATCTTGTGGAGAGACTGCCAGTGACCACTGCATCCTTGAGTGACAAAAGAGACATTATTACAAGAAGAACATCCTCGGGTAATTGGCTGATGAAATCATTTGACTTTAATCCTCGACGACCACCCTTCACAGAATGCATGTCATTAATAATGTAAACAATCAAAATTACTTATATATATGTAAAACGGAACAAGGTTACGGCTTTCAATGAAACCCTAGGTGAAGAGTATGTTCATTAAAGATAAATGATTGTCTGCAAACCTTATCCTTTTACGCATTATCAAAACAAAGATATGAAATGAAACTTTTACTTGCTAAAACAATGGATCAAACATAAACAAGACCGATGTAATTAATCAGATTGATATTTAACAACTGAAATTGTCACATTGGCTATTGTTGCAGCAAAATTAAGAAACTGTAATATGCAGCTTACAAATTGCACTCGGCGAATCCCTAGAACAACTGTATATATACTCATTAATTAACGATAGATGATAGCATATGGAAACAAAATTTAGGGGAATAATCAACATCTGATTGTCACAATTAACTTCAATTACTTTAGATTCAAAATGCCCTCACCGGAAAAGTGAATAGCTAAATCACTAATCGCAAACAATTCACAAGTAACCATCACATATAAAAGAGGTAAATGAAGAAAGCACCTTGACTCGATCAGCCCTTTTCCTCATTGTGGAGCTTAGACCAAGAAGAAAATGAAGACAGCAGCGCAGGCGAGAAGTAGAGAATGGAGACTAAAAGTTGGCCAAAGCTTTTGAACTAAAGCAAGTGTTCCAGCGGTGGTTTTTTATTGTCTTCTAGAATCTAGCTAGATTCTAGAGTTCCGTATGCATGGCCTTTTGATTGTAATTGGGCCCTGAAAATTCGTTTTCATATGGAATCAAGTTTATGTTTGTGTAGTGTTCTTTTCAGCTTTTTTCCAGATAATATTTTTTTAACCATTTAATATATATCTGAATAATTTGCAACTATCTTCTATGAGTAACTTGTAGTTTCTTAACTTTACAAATAGTTTCTTTATAAGTTTGCAATTGCACCTTCATTTTCGTTACATGTTAACAATAAAATGATAAACAATGAGCATGACAATTAATTGAGAAATTAGGTTTACCTAATAGCGACGGGGAAGTATTAGCGGCGACATGCCAATAGCGGCGTCGGCTTTGCATTAGCGGCGACTAACTGTAACAATTCATGGTCTTTTTTAAGCCTAAAATTATTAAAGACAAAAAAAGGGAGCTCATAGTGACAATCTAGAACAATCTAGAACAGATACATATATGGTTTACAATTTAAATAAAACCGATATATATATATATATATATATATATATATATATAAATTAAATGGACAAAAAAAATACTAGTAGCGTTTCGGATTGTATAAACGAAGAAGAAGAAGATAAAGTTAATTAATATAGTAACACACGAGGAATATCTATACCTTGAAATATTTTCTCAATTTTATCATTATTAATACTATCCAAAACTTATTTGTCAATATATGACATTAAGCTATCACTAAAAAAAATGATCATTCATTTTTTCAATATATGATAGTAAGTTATCACTCATAAAATCAACTGGGTTATTTCTTAATGAGTAATTAATTATTTAGGCTATTGAGATATAAAAGATGGGCTTTAAAAGTCATTATTAATATATTTTTATTGTAAAATAAATTAAGGTAGGTCACTCATAAAATTTTAGTATGCCAAAAAAATTATTATATATATTTCTTGTAACATTTTTTTTGACGGGGCAATTGACATACCTTCAAACTGTATATACTCGTCATTGCTAACATGAAGCTCGCACATGAGATTACACGGATGGAAATCATTACAAGGAGACTAACCTAATTGGCCAAATTTATCTTAAAATTCCTACTCCTATTGCTTATCTACCGGAAAGAATTAATCGTAGCATCTTTGAAAAGTACATCACATCAACCTTTTTATTATTGAACAAAGCCTCGTTCCTTAAACTCTATATTCCCAAAATCAAAGAATAATCTAAATAATTTAAAGGTATTTCCGCATGTACATGTTCAAGTTCTCCACAAACTTTCTAAATTTGTAAGTTACCAATAGAAGGAGTGGACAACTACTACCATTTCCAAAACAAATTCAAAACCACCTTTTCCAAGATACGGTCAAAGAGCAAGTATGTGACACATGTCCCGACCTTCACAAAAGTCCATGCTACTCTAAACTTGACTATTGTGTTTACTTCGGTACAAGTCAAAATAAGTTACACATGCATGGCCGATCCAGACGGTGGGCAACCCGGACGACCGTCCTGGGCCCACGTCTCTAGGGGGCCCAAAATTTATGGGCTAAGTAGTGTATATATATAAAAAAAATTAATACTTAAATGATTTTTAGGATCTAAAGTTGGTTCAAACTCAAACTAGTTTAAAAGATAAACGATTTGACTTGCTTGTTATTGCTAATTGAACGCGTTTCTAGTGAAGAATAAATGATATTTTTTTTAATCTTTATGATATTTGCCTTTAAGGGCCCTTTTTTTCTTTTCGCCCCAGGCCCCATATACGTTTGGACCGACCTTATACACATGCAATGGAATGTCTAGTGAGAATACCAGAGATTGATTCATTTTGAGTAAGATGATATCAATCTTCTTACTCGAATCATACCTTCAAAAATCACAAAAACATCATAATTCAAAGTGGGGTTCTTAATTTTCCTAAGAGTTAATAAATCTCTTCACGTGTCCTCTAAATTGAGATATATTCGTCATTCAAATAAAACCCATTATTTATATTTAAGACTTACTTCATCCTCCAAGGTATTGATGGCCAAAACAGTCATAAAACGAAACCAATCCTAAAAAACTAGACTAGTTAAGAGTGATCCTCTCGTGTTTAAACAATCATACTTTCAATTCAAGGACCGGTAATAACCAATGTGAAATTAGTCTTTAACTAAAACCAGATTTGGTTCTAAATCGGTTTAAAACCAGACTCATATAAGTCATAGACCATTTTTTCTTATTTTATATTTTAATGTTATAAATTAATAGGATTTATGTCATTTTTCTCTTTTTTTATAATAAAAAAAATTAATATCTAAGCATAGTACATGCATTGATTATCCACCAAAGCTTATATGTGATGAAACATAATATACGCTTCTCTTAATGCTTTTAATATAATTATTTATGGCAAAAAAGAAATATCAACTAAAACTAGCTACAAGCTAGATTTAAAGTTTTATAATACATTCAATTTAGGATCAATATATATATATATATATATATATATATATATATATATATATATATATATATATATAATATATATATATATTAAATCCAAAGGAGCTTAAGAATAGTATCTTTTTAGGCTTTAGGTTTTTGCCACAAAAGTTTACTGAATTTGACACTTTTAGTCCCTAAAGTCAAAATTTTTATATTTTTGCCTTTTAATTAAGTTTTTGTGCCTTAAGGTTTTTGCCACAAATCTTTAATGACTTTGACACTTTTAGTCCTTGCTGTCAAAGGTTTTATATTTTGGTGTTTTTGCCATAAATCTTGAATGAATTTGACACTTTTCGTCCTTGTAGTCAAAACTTTTACATTTTGACATAATTAGTCCCTAAAGTCAAAATTTTTACATTTTTGCCTTTTAATTAAGTTTGTGTGCCTTAAGGTTTTTGCCACAAATCTTTAATGACTTTGACACTTTTAGTCCTTGCAGTCAAATGTTTTACATTTTGGTGTTTTTGCCACAAATCTTTAATGAATTTGACACTTTTCGTCCTTGTAATCAAAACTTTTACATTTTGACATAAAAAACACAGAAAATTTCCTTTAAAATTTTGCCACCATATTTTCCCAACTTTGACAACTTTAACATCATTGCCACAACATTTTTGGATTTTCTCCACCAATGTCCCTTTTTTTCGTTCTACACTTTTGACATCTAATTTTAGGGGTTGTCGACTTTCTCCTCTATTTATGGTGATTTACAATTTCAGCACATATTTTTTAAAATTGGCCGATTTTTCCCATATTACCCCAAAAGCGGCGTAGCCGCGGGTTCTTTACTAGTTACAATAATTTTTTAATAGAAAGTTACATCTTTCTTGACTCTAGTATTTAGTCAATGAAAACTTGGCATCTTGGTTTCATCAAGTAAAACCCGACAACTTTTGGCCTCCGAGTTGAAAATGCAATGATTGTGGTTCTAAATTATCCAAACAGTCGGCAAGAGAATAACACTAACCTCAAGATCCACCTTCTTTTCACACCTCTATGCTTTTGAAGTTGATTAAATCATTTAATAATTATTCTACCAAATACATAATGACAATTAAATCATATAACTATTATTTAAATTTCTAAATTCCTATGAAAATTATCTTATGTTGAAAATTATATAAGGAAATATCCATATGAGTTTTAATCATTAATTTTTCATGCACATAATGATCTTGTAATTTGTTTCCAACAATAAATATATTTAACTAGGTGAATATCCGTGTGTTGCATCGGTTAAATTATGTATTGGAAATTATGAGAATATATTATGCTGATAAGTATTATGTTATTGGCATCAACTATGAAATTAAATATAAATAATGATTTTATGTAACCCTTAACTATTTTTATGAGAATTAATTTTAAAATTACTTATTTGATATTTTTTAATTTTGATATGATGATTATTTGAAATATTAACAATTGTTTGTAAAACTATGGAGTTTCAATATAAATGTCGATTCAGATTTATATTTAATTATTTAATTTTTAGCTATTTTAACAAATAATCAATAACTATTTTTTTATTTGATATTTTGATTTACGTTTTGTATTTAATATTATATTTAATTAACAAATCTAATATATTTTATGATTAATTTAAAAAGGCTACAATTAATAGGATAATATTTTATATTTAATAACATACTTAAATTAATAAATTTATTATATAATATGGAAATTTGAAAGGTTAAGATGTCTCAAATAGATGTGATGAAAGGAAAAAATATGTCATTTATAGTATAATATGCTTTTGGTCAATGATAATTATCTAAAATATTAACAATTGCTTGTAAAATTAAGAGGTTTCAAATAAATTTCGGTTCAGATT